GCTTATATGACTATATTCAAAATTTAGTATTTTCGATACATTTCTCAAGAGGTAAACATACTTAAAAGGTATATTTAGTGCTTTATCTGTAAGATAATTTATCTGAAATTCAGTAAGTTTCGCTTATATTGCTGTTAAGGTATTAATATGATGTCCATTTTACAGCATCTGCATGCACCAATTTAAATTGACAATATTTGATGAGTGTCTTAGTACTAGATAAAACATGAGCGGCCGATCTGTATATGATATATATATCTTTGTATATCAGATACAGATCGGATGCGAATGTTTTATCGTATTTAAAAAAGGACCCATCTTATGAGTTAATTGGCGAAGTAATTTTAAAAATAAACATTGTCTAAGCCGAGAAAATCAAAGCTGAAGTTTATGTAAATCAGGACAAATCTTTATCCGATTTACAAACATTGATTAAACATTCATTTCTTTTGTATTTTCCTCGTGAATTATTCATTAATAATTCAATATCTGATATAGCGCGGACTGCGAGTGTTTTAAATGGCTTAAAAAACGACCCATCTTATGAGTTCATTGGCGAAGTAATTTTTATGTGAAAATCAAAGCTAAAGTTTAACATGATTTTTTTATCACATATAAAACCACCGATACGCTAGTGAGTTCTTTTGTCTTTTCCTCATGAAACCATATATATCTTATATACACTAGATAGCGCATCTCTTTTAGTAAAATTGAAGCCAAGAATATTCCAGCGGTTACCCCCATTTGAATAGATGGCGGTCATGTTAAAATTTCCCACTCGCTAATGAACGCTTAAAAAACAACAATAACTTTCATCATTTGAATAGTTTGAAAATGTATTTGGAATAGGTTTAACTTAATGTTTAAGTTCCTTGTTTAAGAAATAGAAAACGTACGAGTCTTCTCATTTCATGGGAATATCCCGATCAATAATCACGGCTTCAATTTTTGAATTGCAGAATAATTAGATGCACTATCTAGTGTATATAAGATATCTATATGCATGAAACATTTATGAGTTTTGTAATTGTTTCTTCAGATACAACTGTGAACTGCAATCGTGGTATGATCAAGTGTGCCTCAAGTAATGTATGCATTCCTCAACAGTGGCAATGCAATGGTCGTCCAGATTGCAAAGATAACAGCGACGAACAAGCTTGCGATTCAACCAAATGTTCTAGCAGCGAGTTTGAGTGTGCTGATGGGAAGTGTATAGACCTAGCTTGGAGATGCGATCTCGATCATGATTGTGACGACGCGAGTGATGAAATGAATTGTAGTACCAGTAAGTATTTGATATCAAATTATTTGCAAATGTTTCTGGCCTTTTCAAATAGGCCCAGCTGGTTGGAAGATTCACCCTGTTCTTCCATCCAAGTTAGCTTCATCAATTTTCCATCTCGCTATTTTACACACCTTTGCCAAGAATGGCCCAGCACATACAGTGTCGAACCAACACATGTAATGTCGTGGTCACCTAGGAATGTTCGGTATGAGAAATTTTCGGTATCGGTATACCGAAAAAATTATACCGATATTATCGGTATACCGGTTTTCCTTTGATAATGGACCTTTCCCCTTATAACTAAAATTTCGATCTAGACAAAAATTTCATCACAGCTTGAAAGAGCATCACAAAATTAGTAATATTCCAAAGTTTTGTTGCAAAATCTTGTAAAATGCGGATAATATAG